CATATCATATGTTTTATGGCAACTGGAACCACTTTTATTAAAACACAATACGTTTCTACACCGAAGATGACATCATCAATATTCTGATATACTTTCCATCAATAATTTAATTGTTATTTTCTAATAATATATACAGCTGAACTTGAGAAATCGGTTTCTTATGCGTCATACGTCTGTGCCTAGAATTTGAATTTCCTACTTTATGACAAAAGAGATGAATTTAATTTCAGTATTATAATTTTTCCATACATGTACAGCGATAGCATAGTGTCCTATCTACTGGGTATATATTTCCCAACTTATTCACTATTTCAGTACATATGCCAACTTTCCAAAAGGCTATCGTCTCTATTCATCTAAACCATTAAACAAGGATGTGACAGAGAACGGCTAGCCTTGATATTCAAAAGGTTCCTTGTCAAATACAATACGATTCAGTCAATGCTACTTGTCTCGTGTATACTTTAGGTTTCAAACAGAAACCATTGATTATGTATGGCGGGTGCCATATGTGCTCATTTTTGAACAACTGACATCACGTTATGTATAGCCTGAGATCAATATATCTTTCTCGTAGTTATTCTTTCTCTTACTCATTCATGTGTTTTCCTCTTGAAAATTGCTCTATACGACTTATGTCATACAATACATGTTTTGGTATGATATTTCTAATTGATCAGGTGTGATTTCGCTACGTTTATCGGCACCACAAAATGGTTTGCGTATTGTTATTGGAAGCTCCTTGATAAAAGAATACTTTTATACAACATTACAACAAGCCGCGCTATAAGTAATAGGATGTATATCAAAGCAGCGACATAACTACTCGAAACATCTCTAAACACGTGCGGATGACTACCCAAACAGAAGGAAAATGTATGCATATCCGCCCTTCAACTGCTAATTTTGGTGGCATGTGCAAATATTGGTATACTAAGTAATTTACACCATTAGTAGGTAAAACGGTTCTCTTTAGGTATGAATTCAATTACAATTTCAAGACCACTGTTGTACTGGACTAAGCCATCTATGACAACTTAGTTTAGAATCACCGAAGCCATGACCTGTTCTGAAGAATTTTGGTGACTGGAAAAGAATATTTTGTGTGCTTGCTAACCTGTTTTCTTACTGGTAAAACATGTTTTCTTACTGATAAAACCAGTTTTCATATTGATAAAACATGATTATTCCCTGCAATTTGCGCGCATTGTTGAGTAAACTCACTGTTTTGGTTCATGAGTTGTAACAACTATGCGCCCTGTATTACTATTTCTGTAATGGGTTGCTTATAATAATTGTTTTTTCATGAACACTGACGGCTTAGAACAATAGACGGAATCCAGTTTTTGTTCTTTGCTCGCCAATTTCAATTGGTTATATCAGCACGCGCACGTTTCATGTCAAAAATATTGTCTCTCTGCAACAATCTTTCTTTGATTGTGCTTTCTTCTCTGCCATTGCTACAGCTTCAGCGCTGCCTTTGATTGTAAATCGCCACACTGCCAAATGATACACAAAAAGTAAAACAACATTATACATTGTACATCGATTATATATTTGTAATGGTTTTTATTTGCAGATGACTACAAGAATCACCATTCTTCTCATTGTGATGACTGTCACTATAGTGACTGCAAACAACCTACCCCACCAATGTATGGCGCTGTGTTCCCGGTGTGCCAGGACTTCGCAAGATTCTCACTTTAATGGACGACGCTGCCTTACCGTGTGTGAAAATTCACCCAAAGCTGTACCATTAGCAACGTACAGATGGCAAGATTACTGTGAAGAGATAATGCGAAAAAATGGCTGATCTCAGAAACCACAGAAAATGGGCAGTACACCTGCAGAATACCTCTGAATTACCTTACCCATCCTTTATCATCGATAAAAACTTAAAGGGACAGATATAGTATGCCATTTACACAATAGTACATTTACATAGAGTTGTCTGATTGCAACATTCTTCCAGATATGTGTGTATTGATAAATTCACGGAGCTAGGATATCTTCGACTGCTTGTCAAAACGTGATAGCAAACATAGGCTAATCACAATGGGAATCATAAATTAAAGTAGCTATTTATAGGTCAGGGTTTACAACAAGCGAAGTTCTATTACAGTGGCTGTACTTTGAAATAGTTTAATAAACAATTGTTCCAATATGTCTTAACACTAACTGTCTTAACACCTCTTTTCTACAACATTTTCATGTTGCATAACACAAAGGCACATGTGTGTACATATTGTACAGTATGGGTATGTCGTGAATTGATCCATGATATATGTCACTGAGAAAAAAATAGTTGTATTGAAGCAAACGTGTAATATTTGCACATTGATTATTTTGTTGTCTTCTATACATTTTAAATTAATACGGAAAGTATTAACCTACATGTCAAGATAATAAACAATGAATATTAAATTAGCATACGCCACATGTAACAGGAAGTGTCCCAATTTTCATATACTTATTCTATAACGCATATGGTAAGTGTACATTATAATATATCTACAATGACTGTACCATGATAATATTGGGTAAAATATGTTTATTCCATAACCTTTTACGAAATGTATTGTAATAATTAAAGCATTGAATCCTTTTAAATCTGACCACCTTTGTTTCAATAATTGTGCTTCATGTACGGAGATAAACAAACTGGGATATAATTTAGTATGATATATACACGGGGGTATAATTTATGGTAAAATACACACTGAATCATAATGATATACATACATGGTTAGAATTTAATGGAATGTACACATATGATTATAATTTATGGGCAATATCACGGGGTAAATTCTTTTCCTCTGGGTCAGGGGGGAATCTCGTCTCGTCTCTATATCGCGCCCCCTTGAGGTGCGGGATCGAGAACGTCACTTAAGCTTTACAGTCAAATAAGACACACACAACGAAATACGTTTCAACTCTCGTCTTAGTCGATCAGTCAAGCACTCTATATGACACAGCGCCCTGGGGAAAAGATCCCCAAGACTCTCGCAAGGCTGATCCAAGACTCTCTAGGACTCGCCCTAAGACTCTCCAGGACTGGACTGCGTCTCTCGTGGAGTACTTGCCAAGACCAACTAAAACAACTTTATTCATTTTCAAAACCTTAACCAATTACAAAGCAGTAAAAAGACTCTAAGGCGTAACCTTCAATCATACAGCCAATCACACTAAGTACTGAACACGTCATATCTTTTGATTAATCGTTCACTACATTAATAACTACGAATACCAACTGTCAGAAATAATAGCCCAAATAGCGACGGTTATCTCGTAATTAGTTCCAAATCACTGAGCCAAGTTCCGTCCAAAACTTCAAATAGGCCTAAACGATGACAGACATAACACAGCAATTCGCTAGTAATCAGCTAATTAAGTCGATTAACAGATACGCGAAAACAAATTCATGACACATCCCTTCACCCAAACTGAGATTATGCCTCCCGGCATTGCACGTTCACAAATCAAAGATACCGTCCTCTACTCATCGTCATACAGGTTAAATACAATACTAATAACAGATATAAATCAAAAGAGTAAAACACACTGATTAATAAACTGATTATAAAGTCTAAATACAATGGTTATAAAGTATCAAATATCAACGGTTATAAATCAAAAAACAAGGGAAAGGCTACAAATCGACTCACTTATCTCAAACAGGTCCGCTGAGGTAATCCTTCGCTGCACTGTCTCCGTTACTAAGGTTACAAACTCTATATCAAAGGTAAAAAAAAACTAAGGCGTGGCAGTGTAACCAAGCGACCAGCCAATCGCTGCAGTCGACAGCATGATCACGTGATTACCAGGGATGCGTCTCTCGGTTAAAGCATTGCAAGCGGTAACTAATAAACAATGAATAACAAGCTATTAATGAAACTCCTGTCATATACGCCTATAAACTTCACAAACTGAATTCACAAGTCATTAATCTAAACACAAGTCAAACGGCATGCAAAGACGCTTTCATAATACATTATTCCTCTGGCAAAAACGGGAAATAGGTAAAACGATAGACACTACTGAGTTACATATAAGCCTGTCAATCATGAAGAAAAGCTTGCGTTATCAAACAATACATATATGGGAGCAGCATACTCTTAACCCAAAAAGACATTTAAAAACGTTACAAAGGTGCTCTCCACTCAAAAAGCATCAGAAGTATTCCGGAAAACAACACGTAAACAAAAACAACTCTTAAAACGTCGATATCTCTGTACATCGACAAATCTCAAAACTCTGAAAAACTCTTTTGGGCATTACTTTCCCCATCATATTCCGTACTCATAAACTCATTAAAACACCATAAAACTTCACAAAACTCAAAACACTGTGTTGCAAATAATTGTCCACTGAGGCGCGCTTAAATCGTTATAAAGGACCTCGCACATCACTAAATATCATTTCCAAACAAAGATCTCGGCGCTTACACACATACAATTCAATATCACAAAAAACAGTAGAAACGATAGGAAAAGCAATCAATACATTACATTACTGAACAATAGGGTTAGGATTCTGGAAAAGAGTTCAACGTCTTGAGTTACAGTGTCCGTTACAGTGTCCAGCGAGCAGTTCTCTAAGCAATACACAGATAGCTAAAGTTCTAATCAAAGTCTATATAGCGTCTTCTCTTGTCGTCGCGTTAGTCCGGGTCGTTCTTTATCATCTTCTTGTCTTTAATGTCGCTCAATTCTTAATTATTCAGTCCTATACGATATTCGTCCTTCATAAAGGGTTCCGAAGTCTTCATCTCTTCAGCGTTGTACATCGGTGCCATACTGGTAAAGCCGTTAGTCGTCAAGCGTGGTTTCTGAGTCGTCTCTGCCATGGAGCTGTTAGTTCGGTTCATAAGAAAGACACACCTTCGCCATTTCACTTTTCTTCACAGGATGTCAATGTGTGTTAAACACCTGCCCGGGATCTCCACTCACGTATGAGGGGAGAATTCTTCTTTTCTGGGTTCTCCACACATGTCAGGGGGAATCTCGTCTCGTCTCTATATCGCGCCCCCTTGAGGTGCGGGATCGGGAACGTCACTTATACTTTACAGTCAAATAAGACACACACAGCGAAATACGTTTCAACTCTCGTCTTAGTCGATCAGTCGAGCACTCTATAAGACACAGCGCCCTGGGGAAAAATCCCCAAGACTATCGCAAGGCTGACCCAAGACTCTCTAGGACTCGCCCCAAGACTCTCCAGGACTGGACTGCGTCTCTCGTCTCTCGTGGAGTACTTGCCAAGACCAACTAAAACAACTTTATTCATTTTCAAAACCTTAACCAATTACAAAACAGTAAAAAGACTCTAGGGCGTAACCTTCAATCATACAGCCAATCACACTAAGTACTGGACACGTCATATCTTTTGATTAATCTTTCATTACATTAATAACTACGAATACCAACTGTCAGAAATAATAGCCCGAATAGCGACGGTTATCTGGTAATTAGTTCCAAATCACTGAGCCAAGTTCCGTCCAAAACTTCAAATAGGCCTAAACGATGACAGCCATAACACAGCAATTCGCTAGTAATCAGCTAATTAATTCGATTAACAGATACGCAAAAACAAATTCATGACAGCAATAAACACAATAGAGTACACGAGAACTGGTGATGGTTGTAGAACCATAACTGCCTCAGCTCAAAGACTGTTATGTAATACATGGGAATGTAAAGGGAAATGCATTGTAGTGTTACCTTTGTGTAATTTACAATATACGTTTTGTATCCGCATTAACCATCACTATTAAGGAAAATATGGGAGTAGAAGCAAGGCTACGCAAATTCGCGAAATAGTTAGTTAGAATTACCAGACCTTGTGGGATATAAAGAAGTGGCATATTAACCCAACAAACATACTCGCACATATCCATACATGTCTTATTGTGTGGGGAAATGCTGTCATATACACATTCATAATAACTGGAAATGGTTTCACAACAGAAAACAAATGTTATTGCTGTAAATAATTATGAACAATAAAAACTGAAATTTAGAAAAACTATGAACAAAAAATAATGAAAGTCTGTGATTTTCTGCACAGTTTCCAGGAAATTATTAACCGAACCATAACATTTATAAAAAGCACAGTGCTGAGATTCACTTCGAGTATATCAGAAATATAATCTTACAATTGCATACGAGTCATCAAAACGTACAGTTTGGTGAAATAATTCAAATTTTGTATAGTTCAATATGCATACAACCACCCATGTACTAGTACATTTTGACAATAAACACCTCTTTCACATTGTGCAAATACAAACAAGACATTAAACCTTCCTGACAGTAACATGTAAGCGTTGTATTAACCCGAATGAAGAATCTTGAGTCACGGCGAATACTTCTATCGAGTCGC